CCCCCCCAGAGCAGCCCAGCCTCTCCCATCAGTCCCCAAGTCCCAGCGCCTGCCTCTCTCATCCAAGCACGCCCCTTCCCTATAGAACCTAGAGAAGGACAAAAACTCCCTGGGCCATGCTTGGGGACCCTGCGGGAGCAGGGTGGGCAGGAAGGACATCAGGTGACCAAGAGGAGGAAGACACACCTCCCAGGTCAAAGTCCCAAGCTTTAGAGCAAAACAAGTTGTTCCGGAAAAGGGGGGTGTGGGTGGGCACTTGGCTTTGAGGCTGGTCCCTTCTCTCTAGGTGTCCTCACCCAGCTGAGGGGAGGGGGGTCATCTCCCCAGCCATATGGACACAGCCCTGGGTCCCCATGGTAACAAGTTAGAGCCCCTGCTGGTCTGGCTTGGGTCCAAGATCTGGACTCAGGCCTCAGCAGCCCCACAGGGCTGGACCCCGTGTCCTCATCTCTGAGCCACTGTTCCATCAACGCTCCTGTTCCCAGCCCAGCTCTGTCACCCCGTGTCATCAGGCCCCCTTAGGCCCTCCACACAGCTAGGTCTTGTGTGATTGCCCTTCAGAAAAGCCAAAGTGGGCCTCACTGCTTCTAGGGGTCCCCTTTCTCCGCACCCCATCCAGCCTGCCATTCCACTTGTTGCCAGCAGGTGGCAGAGTCTAGCCCCGAGCCCAGACTAGTTGGGGAGGGCATAGGGGGAGCCAGTTTGCAGCTGAAGGTTCTGCAACTTCCTCTCTCCAGCGCCCCACTTCCGACCCCTTCCTGGGGTAGTTTGAAGGAAGGGAGGGTGGACGCTGACAATTAAACAGTCAGTGATGCTGTGAACAGCGCACCTGGCATGCTCAGGGCTGTGATCTAGGGAGGCTCTACAGCTAAATCGTTAGGGATGGCGTCCTGGCGGGGCTGATGCTAGGAAAAGTTGAGCTGAATTGTTGGACCTAGCAGAGAGACAGCTTCGGGGAAGGCATCCAGGCAGAGAGCTCAGCCCGAGGAAAAGCACAGAGACACATTCTCGTTGGGGCTTAGAGCACAGAAGTAAAATGTTTTTTAATTCATTCTTATATTTCATCTTGCTAATGTCTTTGCTGCAAGCCCGAGAGCTCCTGGAGACCTTGTTTTATTTATTCAAACAGATCCTACTTAAACCCCTTCAGGGCTGCCAGTTACTCTTCAGTTGATACGCAGTCTTCTTAGCATCTGCTTGAAGACCCCACCACCTGCCCTTACCCTCCTCTTCAGCTTCATCTGGCCCCAGGGCCTTTGTCACTTCCTAACAGCAGCCAAACTCTCTCCTGCATCAGGGCCTCCTCCACAATTGCTCTTCCCCTCTGTTTGCCTGGCGGGTTCTAACCACTCCTCCAAGTCTTGCATTAGGTGTCGCTTTCTCCAAAGGGCTTTCTTTGATCTCCCTTCTCCCCCATCTGAAGTCACTCCTTCTGTGAGTCCCCTGCTCATCTCTTCACAGCCGTTATCACAAATTGCAATGACATGTTGATATGTGTGTTTACTCATTTAGTGTCTGTCTCCCTGGAGAGGAGGCATCGTGTCCATTTCAGCCCCAGCACACTAGTACTGAGCACACACGCAACAAATATAAGTCTCAGCATATCCAGTCCCTACCTCTGGCCTGGCAGAGAGCAGCTCAGAGAATGATTGCTGAATGAGTAAGGTATTTTAGCTCTAGTCAGGACCTTATCTTTCTCTGTCCTCTAGCTGTGGGCGCAGAGCGTGGATCTGCTTCATCTCTGGGTGAGAGGAGACAGGGTCACAGCTGTTCAGAGAAGCTGGACCTGGCCAGCCCGGGATGAACATGAGTTCCCATCCCTAGAGGTGCACAAGCCAAGGCTGGGAACCAGGTCCCCCAGTGGGGGCAACTACAGTAGGGGTTCTGGCCCTTCCATCTCTGGAAGCCTGTGATTCTGTGACTCTGTTAAAAGACTATGGTAGATTTTTGTATTTTAATCAGGTTCTGAGGAAGTGGGCTGATTAGGGGTGAGTCTCTCTCCTCTCAGATTCAGCATTTGGTTCCCCCAGCTCACTTCACTTAGCACTCCCTCCACAAGAGCCCATGGGCAGTACTCGGTTCACGAACTTGCATGGGAAAAACATTACATCTGTATCTCACTAACCTCTAACTGAAATTCACCATATTCTGCCATTAGGAATGAAGGCATTACAGTCCCTCTGTGACCTTTTCCTGTCACCATACAATTGTTGCAGATATCTGGATGGATTATTTCTGCTCATCACTATGGAAATATAACAGTCATTGGGACTAGACTTCCACTAGGTCTTATCATAAAGTACATATAGTTACTATATTGCAAACTTGTATTTTTAATATTTTAATAACTGTATTTCAATGTAATTGGTTTCCTTGCAATGCCACGCATTTTATTTTATGCAT